TTTTGTTACTCAATATAGATGTATTTAGGCTATATTTTTCTTGAGTCAGTTTTAGCAATCTGTATCATTTAAGAAATTTGTCTATTTCATCTAAATTATTAAATGTCATTCACAATATTCTCTTATGAGTCTGTCTTCTCCTTGATTACTGATATTGCTAATTTGTGCCTTGTTTTTTTCCCTATGAACCATGTGTTTTTTCATGCCTAACCACAGGCAATTACTAGGATGTTTCCTGACAAATCTCATGATGGAAAACTGCCCTCCTGACACTGAGCACTGTACAGCCAAAGTACTGCAGTCTCTGAAGGGAACTGCAGTGAAGGTCTCAGGCCACCGCGATTCATTCTGTGTACGGATGGATGGATGGATGGATGGATGGATGGATGGATGGATGGATGGATGGATGGGCAGACAGACAGACAGACAGACAGACAGACAGACAGACAGATCGATCTCCAGCACTTTTTGCCTTAATTCTTTATCTGAAGTCTTGGGCAGAAAACTCTTTAGAGAGCTCTGCTAATAGTGTCTTCAAGGAGGGGGAAGAGAAAGTCTGGAGACACTTGCTTCCACTCTAACTTAGCACCCCTGTGTTTTCCAGTCTGTCCTTCCCTGCTTCATTCACCCTCATCAGTCATAAAATCACAGCCTTTCCTTCAAGGCTCCCTCAACAGTGAAACAACCTCCATATTGCACTGATTCACCTCACACCTTGCACCATGCCAAGGGGAAGGTAGCATTTTTTTCCTCCACGGTCAGCCTCTTGCTTGCAGCATCACAGATTACAAACAATTGTTGGTTTGCTGCTTTAACTGACTACCCTGATACATGGCAATTCAATTCTCTCTTGGTTCAGCTAAGCTCCTATCATCTAGATGTATTGGTCTTTGCAAGCAACCAGATTTTGGGTTCATTCTACTCTCGACTGTTTCTCCATTACAACTTCACTGATTTCTTCTCTGGTGACCTATTTTTCTTTTTTTTTTAAACTTGTGAAAGAAATGAGAATATGTCACTCCAAGATATGCCTCTCAGACATATACTTTTGAGCTGAAGCAGCAGCAAACTGAAGAAAGGGTCTTTGCATCCTACCCTGCTTCCTCTTTAAGACAGGATGTAAATTCTCTTTACTGGAGACAACTCTTACCAGCTCATATGTGGCACCAGCGGGATCTACAAACAAATGATGATTCATTTAGTTTACTCCCTTATAATTTACCTTCCTACAATTCCCTACTTCTCTGAAAGTCTAGAACTGCTTTCCTTTGTCTTATCATTTTTCTAAAATTTATTGATCTTTATTGAGGATATTTTTGTAAGTCAGAGTTTTAAGCCATGGCTTTGAGTCACTGTCACTGAGGTTTTTCCAGTGTGATATTTAGTACACATCTTTAAAAATTCATTTTCTCGTGTTAGTCTGTCTTTTGATACAGGCGTCTGTTTCAACTTACCAGGCTGAGGAGAAAATACATTTCTTTGACGATATTTTCGGGGTCTAATTTGCGTTACAATTCTAAATGCTGGAAACATAGATTGGTTGGTTTAACCTCCTTTTTTAATAAAATACAAGCCTTTTAAGTTATAAATCTTTAAGACATGGCTTTGCTGCATCTTAAATTTCTTGATGTTATACTTTCATTATTGAAGATATTTTATAATTGCCTTGTGGCTTCAGGTTTTATCTGTAAGTTACTTAAAAATATGTTCTTTTGCCTAGCAAGTGCAAAGGGCCTGAGTTCAATCCCTGGTTCTGCAAAAAAAAAAAAAAAAAAAAAAAAAAAAAACACAAAACAACTGTGTTCTTTATTGCATATTTGGGCATTTTCTATATGTTAGCTAATGATTTCTAATTTTACTTTGTGCGGTTAAGAAAACATGTTTTATGATTCACTTCTTTAAAACTTGCTGATATTCGTCATATTCTAGTGAACAGTTCCATTTATACTTATAAAAATATGAATTGTGCTACTTGCTGGCATAGTAAATTATATCACTATTGACAATGTTTAGATATTCTTTCCTATCTATTGATTACTGATTGCTAAGTACAGTGAAGTCTCCAACTATATGTAGATTTACTACTTCTTTTAATTCTGTCAACTGTTATTTTGTGCAAATATATTTATAATAGATCCTCCTGTTCTCTTGAGAGAAAACATTTATTTTAAAATGTAAGGCACAAATATAACTTGGGAAGGTGAAATCTACTAATGGTGGAAAAACTATTTTTTTAACTTCTTTATGACAGGAAATCAAACAACATAAAAATTAGCAAAGATCTATACAATTCAGGGGCAGATCCATAGGCTACTTCAGAAAGACTTGGCCCTTCACATGAAGCATATGTTGAGTCCAGGTGTGGGTCATTAAAATAAGAAAACTCTCAATGGGGAAAAATTGTTGAAAGAATCTCATTTTTCCTTATTTAACTTGAACAAAGTGTTCAAAAGAAATTATTCTAAACAAAGAAAATCTCATGAGATGCTTTTTAAAAAATCAAATAGTAATTTGTGTTTTAATTATTTTCTGAAGAAACATCATGTAACAGAGTGGTCAGGAATCTAAATAGCTAGACACCTCTATCGGAAGCCCCACTTTTCTCTCTTTAGTTGAGTAGAACCTCCTAAATGGTCCAACTAGCCCATCAATTTGAATATATAAAAAATATTTTCATTCCAAATCCTGACATTATTCTATCTCTGAAGTATCAAATAATTTCCTATCCTCTTCTATTCCTAGTATGTCCTTTTCCAAATGGTCTTTTTTGTACCTAATCCCTCCATTTCTCACTGCTGTAATCTCTCTTAAACTACAATGAAGTTTTATCTTGAAATAAAATTAGAAGGACATCACATTTTTATCCAAACTCTTTCAGTGGTCCAAATTCCCTCACATTAAATCAAGATACACTGTAATTTAATTTTAACCTCTCTCTGACTCTTTCTCTGTCTGACACTATTTTCATCCACCCAATTTCACGCACCTCCTCCTTGGTACTCCAGCACAGGCATTACTTTTAACACCCAGGTCATAAGCTTCGGCCTCAGGATACTTTCCAACTCATGGGGGAAAGTACACTAACAAAAATAAATAACAAGCAAGAATGGAAAGAACTATAACCAATGCCTTCTAAATGAGAAAACAGAGTTGATAAAGGAAGAAGCTGATTTCAACTGAGTAATCTGCATGCTTAAGGACGCTCTTCTGCCTGAAGGAAATACACCTTTTTAAAGTTAAAATTCTAAAAATCTAAGGAAAGCCAACATTTTGGCCCTAGCCTTCCAAGGTCAATTAAGACTCAGGACATATGAGAATTTGTACTGTAATGTCATGTAACTAGGTAGTGCCCCAAATTTTCTGATCAAGGAGAGTATGGGGCCAAAGAGGAAAGTGACCGATGATGTAAAGTGTGCCTAAGGAGAGTCACATAGAGAGAGAACATTCTCTCAGGCTTTCACAGAGAGCACATTGGCCAAGCAATGGCCATAACTCATTCACATGGCTGACACTGACAAAGGTTCTACAATCTGAGGTACAAGATCTCAGGATAAATCCTGAGGGGATTTCACTGACCTTATCAGACCCAAAGCTACAACTCTCGTTGCATAGGTCCTGCTTTACCTTGGTCTTAACCATCCAGCAGAAAAGTATAAAAATGAAATATAAGAAGTAAAGCCATGTTGTTATGTTGAGCTGTAGGGAACTCAGGTCAACAATTTCTGACATTTCCAGTCAAGCGGAAGACCCAATACTATTATGGACTACTGGACTCTTTTAGAATATTTTGCTGAGTTTACACACCTATAATATTCAAATAACGGAACTTAACAAAAAAAGGGGATATAGATGAATGTCCATTTTGTATCTGTGTATTCAAGGTGGTTGGGATGGATATATGGTTGCATTCTTTTGATGAATAGAGGGATTTGTTCTAATGGTGTTTGTAAATAGGATATCATGTCCGCATCTTGTACAGTAATTCACCACTAGGAAGAATGTATGCAATGTGTTAATTATTGAAACTGTCCTACCAATTTGGTTTGAAACTTCTCATTGCTATTTGTTTCTCAATAAAATTATGGGAAAAAAATAAATAAATATGGCAAAAAAATCAAAAAAAAATTATAAAAATCTACGGAAGAAAATATCTAACAGATTAGTATCTGTTCAACATCTTTGTTCAGTGATGCTCAACATCATTTGTTCAACATCCTAACCCTAGCCTTAACCCTCTTAAAGGTCTAAAGAGAATGTTTAGGTGACAAATATGCAGAGTTTACCTTGAAGTCCTTGAAAAAAACAAAGAACCCAACTATAAAATGCAATGGTTGACTGGCTAGGACAGGACGAATAAGAATTGTTTAATTCTGATATACTTCAGGCTTCAAGGCCAGTAAGTATGGTAAATGCCCTAATTCATAGGTCAAATTCTCCAGAACTGAATGGATACAATGTTAGGCTCATATCCTAAAAACACAGTCTAGGTTTACTCATCTTCTGATTTCCTACCATGTTACTTTCTTGCTGACTCACATTCTATGAAATAGATTAAACCAGTAATAATTCATTCATCCAACTTTTAACATAGGTAGTTACACATCAAATATTTTATTGCTATCAAAAAAAATCACAAAGATGCTATCACACCTTCAAACAATCAGTTTTCTGAACAATAAAATATTTAAGACTATTAAAAGTTAATGATGCTAGTAATAACTTCATTATACTGAATATTATGATCTTATTTAAGTATTGGGCAAGAATTATCACTGACTTAATGCAACACTGCTCAAATATGCAACAATGGTAATATTGCCATAAAAATGGGTGAATACTAAGCATCACAGAAATAGTAAATATTTTAAATACTTATTCTTCTGAGGTAGACAAATATGTGACAGATATATGTATCATAATAAGTATTATACAATATATCAATAATTTTTTAAATTAACATTATAAAAACAAGGCTCCCTACTTTGTATCCCAAATTATACCTGGCAACTAGGTAAATCTTCCCCAAAAAGGTGGTGCTGAAGAAGGCTGGTGATTCTAAGGAAAGGTAAGCAGAAGTCTTGTAAGTATTTCTCCATGGATTCAGGTGACCAAGCAGTAGGACTAACCTAAGGTTAAAAAAGAAAAGTTGAACAATTTATTCTATAATAGATGTAGCTTTAAAGTTACACTCACAATGGCAATAAAAATCTATTTTTTTGCTCAAAAATCATATCTGATCTTAGTAAAAGCATACCATTGTACATTCTTGAGTCCCTTCTTCATGGTATAACTTTCCTTTAGATAGTTCACTTATAACAAAACTCAATAACACTTCATAAGACTTTTCAGCATCACACATATTCTGGAAAAAATTTAGAGTATTAGTCACATGGGTCACTGAAAATTACAAAAAACTGAAAATAAAACCTTTACACAAGTAAAATGGTTAATATATTATTTTAAGCAAATAAGTCAGAATTCTTTGAAATCTGGGCAAAAGTATATAAATTCAATTCACAATGAAATTGTGTAGGTTGTCAATGCTAGTACAATAGGTCTTTAAAACACAACATATGAATTACAGAATGTATAGGGAAATATGTAAATTATGCCTTTAACTCAACCTAAGGGAATACTTTTAAAAATGCTATATGCACAAGACACTCATTATAACCTGATAATCACAAAAAAGTTAGAAAAGACTAATAAAAATGAGGCACCACCCTAAATTATACAACATGGATGTGAAAGAATATTCTTCACTAGCAGTGAATATCACAAATTGGAACTATATGGAAAATATTTACAATGTGATCGAAAAAGTATATATGTATTTTTTACAGTAGTACAAATTATATATGCATATAATAGAAGAAAATCTATTTGAGTCACAAACGCTTTTTACTTTACAACTTTCTTAAAA